ACCGGACCAGACCGGACCGGACTGATGCAACCCTAGATACATATTTTGGGTTTGGTTATGAACCAGAACTAGGTAGAAATACCGATTCCCAAACCCAAACTAGGTAGAAACGCCGTAACTAAAAAGAGTTTGGGTCGCAACCCTACTGGTGACCACAACATGTGGTTAAAGTGAGTTAGTTTTCATTGGGATTATTATAACGTGATTTCCATCATGAGCTACTAAGAAAATTATGTTACAGAGCTTACTCACTATTTTCAACGATTTCTATCGTTAGTACTGTAAAAATTCTGTTACAAACTTTATTATTCTTTGATACAGCATGCGATTCACTAATGCATGTTATTAGCATTATCTATACTTCAGTTAATAATATCAAAGATATGCACATCAGCAAGTTGTTTTTTTATAAAATCTACATAGATACAAGTTTATATAGTTATTATATATAATACTATATAAAAATTATATATATTGATTTTTATTTATTATTTAATATAAAATTTATGTAAACTTACGCAATTCTTGAATGTGAGCCAGGTTGGTGGCGCATTATTGCGCTTTGCAAAAAAGTGTAACCCCACAATTTTCGTGATAACAATAATGGGAAATTTTGGAGATTCTAAATAGTCTATCAATCATATATTCAATCAGTAATATTTCTATCTATTTTGAAATCTGTAAAATTCTCTTAGAATCGAAAAATCGCCTAATTTCCCTTGATATCATGATCTGCGGGGGTCACTTTTTTGCAAAGCGCAATAATCAGTCCGAATAATTTGCGCCAATTAAAAAAAATTCTAACGATAACAATAATAAAATTATAAATTTAATAGAATGAAAACACCATTTTTTATTGTTATTTCTCTCGAATCATATTGTTATTTTCAAAAAGCACGTTTCTCTTTATTTCTTTAGCTTCTAATATTATTGTTTTGAATTCAAAAAAAATATTCGTATTCTTTACTTTTAAAATGTTTATAAATTATAATTTTAAAAATTTTTACAGACCAGAACGTCAAAGTTCTTAAATAATACGCGTATAAGAAAAATATAGGCTTTAAAAGTATGATAATAAATCTCAAATAAACACGTACTATATAGTTTATAAAAAAAAAAATTCTTTAATTAAAAAAAAAACTTTTCTCATAATAAATACTGAATCGTATCTTAAAAAAATAATAATAATAGAGTTCTTTAATGTTAAAGACGATTCATTTTTAAACTACAGTAAGACCTCTATATAATCACCAAGTTGGGTGCGCCCTATTCCAGTGATTATAAAGAGGTGTGACTGTAAAACTTAAACCTCTATATAATCACTATCATATGAAAAACTGTATATAGGTGATTATAAATTTTATAAACTATAAAATGTTTATTTATATATCATAAGGTAGCTGCGCAGTACAGTTGCACTAAAACCAGGAATGTAGATAATAATTTTGTAAAAGCTATTTCATTAGCACATTATAAAGCTTTTATTAGAAACTAGGCGTTTGAGTTGCTTAAAGGGAGTTAGAGATAAGTGTACTATATCTGATATTGTACAAGGACCTCATGTTATGATTAGGCTTCATGGTTGCGATAGCAATGCAAGGACATCATGTTGTGATTAGGCCCTATGTCTGTCACAGGCAATGCAAGAATATCATGTTTGGTGATCGAGCCCCCATAAAAAAAGTCAAAATTTTTTAAGATTTTGTTCAGATTTTTATTATGAAAGTGCTCATTTTAAAATAATAATCCGAACAAAATCTGAATAGAATTTTGACTTTTTTTTTTATTTTAGGTCCAAAGATATAATAGCAGTACAAGGATCTCACGTTGTGATTAGGCTCCGTGGCTGCAAGGACCTCATGTTGTGATCAGGCTCCATGGCTGTCGCAGACAATGCAAGAGCCTCATGTTTGATGATTAAGCACCTTAACTATGATAGCAGTGCAAGGATCTACATTGTGATTAGGCCCCATGGATGCGATAGCAATGCAAGGATCTCATGTTGTGGTTAGGCTCTGTGGCTCATGTTAACTCCACAATTATGATAACAGTACAAGAACCTTATATTGTAATTAGGCTCCATGGCTGCGATAGCAATGCAAAGGAACTCATGCTGTGATTAGGCTCTATGACCATCGCAGGCAGCGCAAAAGCCTTATTTTTGGTGATTAAGCACCACAACTACGATAGCAATGCAAGAACCTCACGTTGTGGTTAGGCTCCATAGCTGCGATAGATTAAATTAATTAAAATTCAATTAAATAGAAACCAATGTTAATATTCTCATCTTACTGAATATAGTTAAATTTATTGCATAGTTTAAAAATTTTTTTGAAACAAAAGAAGCTTTATATAATCTACCTAAGCCATACCTTATTAAAAAAAAACAAATAATAATTATACCACTTTCCTGCTAAATACATGTAATATTGTTCATGAATATTTTATTTTAATTTTGTTAAGTCTACAACAATTTACAAATTAGAAGAATAGAAACTTATAATGCACAGAAAAATTGATGAGGTACAAAGTGAAAAATTTTATTTAGAGATTCTACAAATATATGTACGTACAATAAATAAACGGAGGTCTATCTGATAGAATTTAAATAGTGCTGATTACTGTAGCTAATTACTCGATAATAACCGACACACATTCAAGATGTGCTATAAAAAGAAAATATTATAAGGTTTAACTAATAAGACATGAGCGATAAACATAAAGTTTACTATTTTTAGTACCGTATTTTCGCGAAATAATGGGCATGGGCGTTATTTCGAATAATGACCAGAATTAAGCTTAATTTAGGCCGAAATTCATAATTTCACCCCTGCGCATTATTTCGCAAAAATACGATACGTAAGTTTAAAATAATGTTATGCTTAATATTAATCATATTTTTATTATATGATATAAAAATAATAATTAGATAGTATATAACTTGTGATTGCAGACTTGTATTCTGTATTGTAAACCATAATTATAAATGTATAGTGAATAATTAATATATTTAATAGATCTTGAATGATTTATTAGTACAGTATTTAAATGCATATTACCTGTAGCTAATCAGATTCGTTAAATTTTAGAAATTAGTGATTATAAAGAGGTTTATTATTTAATAAAGTTAATAAAAAATTTAAATTTTATGGTGATAGTGATTATAAATATTTCATGACTATAAAGAGTTTCATTTAATATACTTTAGGTCCATTTCACAAAATTAGGTGCTTATATAGAGGTGTGACTGTATAGGCTGTGACTATATGGAGGTCTGACTGTAATATTTATAATTTTTGTTAACCTTACATACTTTCGAAATTACTGTAATACTCTACTTACATATTAAATACGATCAACACCCTTTATAATATATCTTTTATAATGAACAAACTAAAAATCTTAAAAATTATAATTTTTGTTATGTTTCAATTCACAAAAGAAAAATAGAAAACATTCAAAATACAGGACGATTGATGAAACACATGATGGAAGTTTTCGTTGAAAAAGAAATTTTACGAATGCATTGTACAATACATACTGAAATAAAAGAGATCATTGTAGCTGGATAATGCGCCATCAACCTGGCACACATTCAAAAAATTGCTTATGGCAAAAGGTAAAAACTATTTCGATCACTATGAAATCGCATCTAGGTTAATGCTTGAAAACAAACACTCTTAACCAAATCATCTATCTTTTGGACAATTTCATTATTATATTAGGTCATACAACAGAAATATTCTCATCAGTATTCATTTTATATTGTTTTAAACTTTTCGTTTTAGAATTCTTTCAAAGCTCATCCAAGGATAATTCAATAAATCTTAAATATTCCTCTAAGATGCAGCTTCTTGGCGAGAAAACTTACACTTATCAGCTGAATATACCCCACCTTTGTAATATCCTGCTAGAGACCTTTTTTTGTACCCCAAAATTAGTATCCCCAAACTATTTATAGAACAATTACAAGTTCTAAAGTAATTAATAATATAATTATAAGTTTTAGAGCGTTCTTAAGCACTTATCTCAATGAATTTAATAAAAAATCTGATTGGCTAATTTGATCAAACAGACCAATCAGATTTGTCATTGAGTCCATTGAGGTAGGTGCTTGTCCTTAATGTAATCAATTAACCCTTGCATATTTTTATGCATCCCTTGCATAATCGTGCATAAAATACGCATAATCCTGCATAATTATGCAAGGGTGCATAAAAATATGCAAGGAGTTAATTGATTACATTAAAACTTATAATTATATTATTGATTACTTTAGAACTTGTAATTATTCTATAAATAGTTTGAGGATACTAATTTTGGGGTACAAAAAAATGTCCTTGGTAGGGTATTACAAGGGTGGGGGTATATTCAGCTGATAAGTGTAAGTTCCCTAAGCAAACGATATAAGATTGAGCAATAATTTCTGCTTTTGTATTAACAATGCTTCTGTTAATGTGTTAATTGGTCTTTAAAAGGCATAACATAAAAATAAATGCCCCAAAACTAAAGATTAGATAATTTTGGATTATATATACTGAATGTTTATAAAATTTCGGGAAGCACCTACATTTCAAATGGTACCTTAAAAAGGAGCTTCAAATTAAGATCATTTATTTTTCCACTTACAATTAAATATAGTAAAAATGCTATTAGAAAAAATCCTTATTTTAGAAATGCGTCACTTATTTTATTAATTTTGAAACCCATTATTATTGATCTAAATGGTCAAAATTTTGAAATAGAAATAAGTTTATATGTTAATTGTGCTTCCATATTTGATTGATACTTGGTTATTGGTCGAAGATTAATTTATTGCTTGAAGAAGTTCAGAGATCAAAAACATCTTTATCATTTAACTGTATATTAGATAATCTGTGATTTTATATGGAAGAAATGCATTCAATAGCTTGTTTGAATTAGAGATTAAGCCCGTATAATAAATGGCTCTGGGTTACCTAACTGTTTATAAGACTATTTCCCGGTAAAAATCCGTCTACATGTTAAATCTAATGTCCTTCCGTCATACAATCGACCAATCAGAAAATTTTCAACGTATTATATATTGTTAGCCAAAATTCGCTGCGCCGAATTCGACGTCACGAGACCTAAAACGTGACGAAAGACCCGAACCGAAGTCCCAGGAAATGGTGGCTGGATCGCGGCTGTATTATGGCTAAATAGTGTCGAAAGCCACAAAGAAAAGAAGAACCGATTTAGGTTTGGGGCGGTGCCCAAAAGCTTAGCCAGAGGAGGCTTTGATGGCGGCATGGTGTGGAATGGCGTGTTGGGCTTGGGCTTAGAAGTAGAAAAGTTCTTTTTTTTTTCTTTTGTTCCTCCCACATGTAAATTGATTATAAATACGCCCTTTAATAAAAAAAAAAAAACAATGTGTGTTCATATTTTGAATAAAGTCGTTTTCGTCCCCACAATATACCTGATTTAGCCTTACCTCGCCAAATCAAATCGCCTCTACCCATTGGGTATATTGTTGGGTTGATTGTGTTGTTTTGGTGGTGATTGAATTTGCTGTGTTGCCGCCCAGTTGTCTCCGACAATATAAATCTAAATATTATGATAAGCAATGAAAATATCCGAAAATCTTTTTGTTCTCCGAGAACATAAATTTAAATTTTTAGGTTTTCAAAAAATTTTAATGTTCTCAAAAATTCTCAAAAGTTCATTTTTTATCATAAAATTTTATGTTCTCAAATGAGAAATATTTTTTAAAAATTGTGCTCTCAAAATATTTAATTTTAATAACAAGTTGCTGGGCTGTTTGATCATTTAAATTGATTAAAGATAACAAGTGACATTACTAATGATTGTTAAATGTAGCGTTCTGATAAAGTTCAAAAATTCGGCATGATATTCTTGCAAATATATGACGAATGAGATCTTTGAGCAGAATATTTACACTATTGCGTACAAATGAAATGGAAAAAATAAAAATCGACTGCTATATCACACTTGCTAGCCAATAAAATTTGGTAAGAACAAAGAATTTCTGACCGTTGAAAACTATGTCAAAATTGTTGTTCATGCTCGTCAATAATAATAATAATATGCATGGTTTTAACTTGTTCTTATCTATTTGTAGAATTTATCGTTACTGAAACCTGAGCTGCCAACTATAAATTTGATACCCCAAGTCCATTTACCAGTTCCATTGGTTCATTGGACGTTCACTATTCCAATGGACCAATGGATAAATAGGTAAAATAAGTATACAGCTTTTATAAATGAGTTTAGAATACTATACTACGTGATATTCGAGATTTTTTTGAAGTTGACCTTATTCTGACTTATGCTAATGGACTAATGGACCAATGGATTATGATATTGGTCCATTGAGATCCATTGACAAACTTATTTTCAATGGACATAATCCATTGCCAACCCTGATTCAATACATACGTATGCATATGGCAATTGCATCTAAGAATATATATAATGAACGTTGCGTAATGTAGTACATATCTTTTTAATTCTACAAATAGAACTTCCGTATGTAACATTCATTCTGGCGGTAAGATGTCAATTTATAATAATATATTCGAAAAGCAGTCAGAAAAAATCAACAGTTCACCAGACATTACTTAGATAGCTAACAGCGTTGATCAACTGTATTTAGATTATAACAAATCGCAAGGTTTTTTACATGACTTTTTTTAATGAAATTGTTAAAGAAATGTGTAATCTGTATAATTATGAAAGATTAAAAGGCAAGAACTCTCGTTTAATTCTTGATACATTAGAATAATTTCTAATAAAGAAAAGCAAAATCCAAATAATATTATCAATTTTTGTTTAAATGATCAAATCAATCCTGTGGTTCAAATCGTTCTTGCAAATTGTTATCATTATGGAAAATGGATTGAAAAGGACGAACATAAGGTATTTATTTATTATCAAAAATCAGCAGAGATGGGGACGCTAGTGGAACAAATAGTGTTGGATACTGTTATCTTAATGGAATTGGAGTTGAAAAGGATGAACATAAGGCGTTTGTTTATTATCATAAAGCTGCAGAGATGAGTCATACGGATATTGCTATCTTAATGGAATCGAAGTTGAAAAGGACAAATATGAAGCATTCAAAAACCTGCAGAGATGAAGAATGCCGATGGAATATTTTTTCACTGTTATTTGTTATAATGAAGGAATTGGAGTTGAAAAGGATGAACATAAGGCATTCTTTTATTATCAAAAATCAGCAGAGATGGGTCATGCTAAAGGAGCTTATAATGTTGGATGTTGTTATGATGAAGGAATTGGGATTGAAAAAGATGAACAAAAGGCATTCGTTTATTATCAAAAATCAGTAGAGGTGGAAAACGCTGATGGAACATATATGATTGGTTATTATTATGATGAAAGGATTGGAGTTGAAAAGGATAAACATAAGGCATTCATTTATTATCAAGAATCTGCAGAAATGGGTCATGCTAAAGGATCATATGTTGTTATCAAAACGGAATTGGGGTTGAAAAGGATGAACACAAAGCGTTAATTTATTATCAAACACCTGCTGAGTTAGGTGGAGCTAATTAGTATTGTCAATTGTGCAATAATTACTAGTTATAAACTCGTTGTAGACCCATTATCTGAAAAAATGTTTTAAACGTGTTTTAAAAACATTATTTGCTAATTTATAACCCATAATCAATTTTTTACAGGTTTCTGTAAAGATATTGTAATTTCATACATTATTATTTTAAGAAATTTAATAAATTAAAAAATTTAATTATGATAATAATGCTAATGATTTATCATTGTAGTTGGTGCTGAGATTTGCTGATTCTGAGAATCTAATCTATTTAATAAGAAATTAAGAAGGTAGCTACGCTGTCACGCAAAACCAGATAATTTGAGTACTCTTTGAGTTTAAATTGTGAGTCATGTGAGCGGAGTGAAAAGTTGGCTAACATTATTCCCATTTCAGTTAATGGTTCTTCCCGACATCAAACAAGCCAATTATAACACAGAATAATCTTCTGGGCATACACGTTTATTTAAACTTTCTTCTAATGACCAAAACATTGACGTTAACTGCTCTGTATGGCCTAACACAAGTCTAATCAATTATTTTAATAAATTTACAGTTTTTCTTTATATATATCAGCAAGACGGGTTAGGCCATTTGTTGGAACATAATTAATAGTAAGAATAATAAATGAGAAAAAATTTTCGAATGTCTCATGCATGAAAAGACACATACCGTGCATACGTACGTACATATCTGATATATTGACGATTGATTTAATTAATAGATAAGTCAGGTCAATAGAGGGTTGATACATAAATATAACCTTTTCAGATTAAAGTTATTTCAAAGCACTATAGAATGAAGCCTATAAAACTAAGCTCAGAGTTTGGAATCGAATTTATTTTTTAAAACCGAATTTATTTAATTAGTGATCAGTTTCGAATTTTAATCGAATGCTAAATTGAAATCCAGATTTATTCATTATTGGTCATATTAAAAATTGATGATAGGAAAGTAAAATAGAGGTTTACGATGAGCAGAAATAGTAAATAATATTTTAATATTGATTATTATTAATACATTACATTCTATCCGATCCTATAGATAAAAAACTATGATGACATATATGCAATAACCATATCAGATATGTAGTAATAGTGTTATTGGTCGATGGTCGTCGATGATTTAGTCGGTTAATACATTAAAGCTTACAGTCAACTTTTGAGAGTCCACCTTAAATTAGTATAGAGCAGATAATTAATATTAATTGGATATCTTTTGAGTAAATGCTATTATCAGCGTTAACACAATCAACTTTTATTTGGTTTATTTCATCCAAACAGAGATACTGTTACATTCAAACCACTTCTTTTGGTTTTAATGTAACTAGACGATGGAAATAATTAAACACTTCGCGCTCATTATAAGTTGTTACAAATAAATACGATATTATATTAAGAGGTTTTATGGTGATTATAATTGTATGTGAATATACTAATAGTCGAGTAGTAGTTTTTAAGTTATGTCAATATTGCTTTATAATGATGATCGTGAATTAAGATTCACTATTATCATGCGATCAAGATTGTTAAGTCACTTGACGATTAAAAGTAAGTGTATGAGGGCACGATTATATGGTGCTTATTAATTAATTGATGTGTCAAACTATCAATTTCTCGGAAAGAATATCTAAGTTATCTATACATTTCAGTCCGCTCAGAGTAGAATTATTCAGGGCAGCTCCCAAAATTATTGTGACGTATTATCACGTAGCCACAGTGCTCGTCACAGTATATATTAGATTACAATCACAGTCGGAAGAGAGTCAATAAATGGCATTAACTAATTTTACATCACAACACTTCTGGGAGTCGCTCTGGATAATTCCTAAGAATATAAGCTATTACATATCTGTTCTATCGATTGATTATATATGATGTCATAGTTTAAATACTAGAAATATGGATATATTAATAAAATACATCAAGACTCATGATTCTCGTGTGTGATATTATGGTCAGCACGCTTTACGAAGTTTGAAGTGAGTCACGTGTTTTAAGATCATGAATGTCAACTATTGAACTACCCCTAGATCGCGCGATACAGGGGATGTCTGTGATGTCAGATGACATGGATGGCTTATCGGGCGGATATTCTAAATCTGATTAAATAAATAAATGGTTCATCAAAAATTAATCATTTGTGAAACTTTAACGTTACATTCTTACGTATGTATGATTAAGGTTTCTTTTAATAGTTTCCATTAACGTTAAACATTAAATATTAATAATACGCTGAATGATATATATTTAGAGGTTAAGCACATTAAAAATAGGCAATTAATCAGATGCCACAAATTTCAGAGATGATCGATAATTTACATTCAGAAATCAATATTAATTCAAATCAAAATGAAAGAGAAAATTTTGCTTTTCTTCAGCATGATGTTATATTTCAAAATACTTTATCAATCGAATCTCGATCTCTTAATTTATATGATGATAAATTTATTTTAAATTTATTTTATTATTTTTTTAACTTATTTAATTCTCATTTTATGACAGGTTATGTTGCCAATTTATTGAAGCAATATTTTAAGGACAATAATTCAAATCCTATAGATTTTTTCAATTATCTTTTACATTACAAGAATAGTTCTTATTTTACAAGTATGATTGGGTACTTTTATCAATTCGGTATTGGTACGGATGTTGATTACCAGTTAGCTTTAGTATTTTATACTCAAGCAACACAAGAAAATCTTATTATTCCTGATTCGAATTTTTCTCTACTTGAAGTTAATGAATTAATTAAAAACAATTGGATTATTGGCCAAATTTCTTTAGCGAATTTACATTATTATGGTATTGGAATTAATGAAAACATGGAATATGCATTTTTATTATATTATGAAGCTGCTAAAAGGAATTATAGCTTAGGGCAATTTTTCGTTGGTCAAAGTTTTGAACGTGGTTATGGTGTTGATATAAATAATATTATAGCTTTTGAATGGTATATGAAATCTGCCGAAAATGGTTCTTCTCTTGGTCAATATGGTCTTGGAAGATGTTATCAATATGGTATCGGTACTATAAAAGATAATAATAATGCTTTTAAATGGTATTTAAAATCTGCTGAAAGTGGAAACCCTAGTGGTCAAAACAATCTTGGTTATTGTTATGAAAATGGATTAGGTGTTAAAAAAGATAAAAAAATAGCTTTAAGATGGTATTTAAAATCTATGGATGCTGAAAGTTCTGCTGGTCAAAATAATTTTTTGCGTATTTGCAAAAGTGATTTTATTAATGATTATGAAAAGAAATATATTTTTGAGCGGTATTC